CTGCTGAATTTTTCGTGAAAGAAGAAAAGAAGAAGAAGAAAGGAAGAAGGATGATGATGATGATGATGATGATGATGATGCAGGAACTGCAAATTTATCGACTTTTGAAAGAGTGCCTTGAGAGCAAAATCTTTTAGCCTTTGCAACTCTAGAGATCAAAGATAGAATCCAATATTAGTTTGATGTAAAATATATGATTCATAAAACAGAATAGTATAACTAGCTATTACAATTTCCATTGAAATACTCCGAGATCAATCTACCAATGTTTCACTATGGGGTTGTTCATAAAAACATAACACTGAAGGGGTAAGAGGATTGAGGCAGCAATATGCTGAGTTGCATAGGGGTAGGGGGTTTCTAGTTGATTGTTATGTAATGCTGATTTATAATAAGCTGTAATCATTAATTATTTTTAAAGTCTTACTTCTGCTGAAATAATTCCTTTTTATCCAGTCTTATACTAAAACATTAACATATCAACAAATTAAATTAAAAAAGGAATAAATTAATGAAGTTGTAATGTATAAACTGTTATAATAAATGGAAATATTTTTTATCACTGACATATTGATTGAATCTTTTAGATTATGATGAAAATATTCAAAAATAGTCTGTAGTATATGCTAGTTATCTTCTATTAAGTTAGTGCAGTAGACTCAGTCTATGCCTCATTCGTGACAGAATGTGCACGGCTTGTCAGAAATTTTTTCGCTTACATGATCTTTCATTAAAAAATTTTCCCCACTCTTATTGTTATGTGCAGTCTGCACTACCAACTAATTCTCACGTTAATTACCCTCTCTAAAAGAAGTTAAAAGGTGTTGCTTCTCAATCATTAATTGCGACAAAATTAAATATGTGTCATTTTTGTTAAAAATAAGACAAATAGGGTCAGCTAGGGTTAGTATGATACAGCAAAAAATTGTGGCAAATATGATACACTTTAAGGATTGTTACTGATTTGTGTCTAAAACACACGTAACACGAAAATAGCAAATGATAGGAAATATATTATATTATTAATGACCATACAGTAAGCTTTCAGAATGTTACAATATTTTTTGGGGAGGGGAAACCAAAACAGGAATAACTCATTATTTCAGTCAAAACCTTTTCCGCCGTGACAGAAAACTATTGATGTTACTTTGTTATTTTTTGACAGGGTATTTTTCAAAATAGGTAATCATTCAGGAAGTATTAATCTTTTTTCTGTGTTAAAAGAATGCAATAATATTAATTGTCATGACATATACAGCCTCATGTTTGTGAAATGACAGAATGTGATACAGATGTCAGAGCTATTTTGATATGCTAAAAATGCACACGCATCTAACTGAAAAGTATTTTTTTATGTTTTATTATTTAATGTAACATCAAATGTGTGAATATCTATAAAGCAACTACACGCAATTGTACATTTCTGTACAATAAGAGTTTTCTACAGAACTAAAACGCTTAAAATATCTCGAAACAATATTTAATCATTTCAGTTCATCTCATAATATTGAAAATAACAAAACTCAATATGCTAGAATGAAGGTCCAAGGGTCATGTAATGTAAATATAATGTAATAACGGCACTCACAACGTAAATATTCTTTAGTGGTACAGAAGAAATCAAAGAAAGATGACAAAAGGAGAATTTATAATTGTGCTTGGTAGTACGTAGAGTGATGGACAGATTTCAGAAAATGTCAAAGCCAAATTCAGATCTGTTGGATTGTATCTCTTTGATCAGACCAAATATCCCGTTTTTCGACATGATGTTCACAAACTATCAAAGTATTTAGCTGAGAAGGAATGAACAGACAACAACCCGGAAAGATTTCCTCGATCTCCTCCCTGCCCAGAACAAGGAGATTCATTTGATGATTATCAATTGGCAGGACCTTCTACCTCACTGATTCAGTGCACAGATTCTGATTTTTCACTGGCATCACAAGGAAACAAACCCACAATAGAAACTGACACCATCCCTTCAACTCTAGATACCAACTGTTCCCCTCCAGGTATCTCTCCTTGCACTTTTGAGATACTACTATTGGAGAAAATTAAAATAACAGTGGTCCCCCAACAAACAAGGAAGTGGTTAGACCCAAGAGCTACTAGTGAAGAATGGATCGAAATTGAGAAGCAGAAGAAACAAGAAGTCAAAAGTAAAGAAAAAGAATGGAAAAAACTCAAAGAACAGAAGTAAGCAAAATAAAGGCAGAAAAGAAAACTTGAAAGGGTATTAGAAAAAAGGAAATATGTTTTGTTAGATTCTAGCGATGCCGAGAGCGAATATTTTATACCCTTCAAACAAAGCGGTGTTGATACGGACATGGTGGGTCGGTTAAGAGAAATTAACAGAGATGGACAGTCAAAGAATTTGAAGAGCTGATTGGAAATAAAGAACATTATGAAACCTGTAGATCTATTAAGATTAAGAATTGGATGGTAGCAGAATTTCATATAAAGAAGAAGATTTTGTACTACGTTAGCCAAGTCATAAGCATTGAAGATGGTGAATCGCAGGTGAAATTTATAAAATTCAAAGGCAAACATGGAAATAACACAATTTTTTTGAGTGTTATTTGGATGGAACCTTAACTTAGGCACAGGGCAGAGTTGGTTTTTAACAAATCTGTCAGCAATTTCAATAATTTTTGCAAGTATGTTAGCTTTCTTGTTATTACTCTACAATTTTTTTTTTTTTTTTTTTTTTTTTTTTTTTTTAATAATTCCTTGTATTAAAACCAAATTTACAATGTTTTTTAATCTTTAGTCTAAAGCTTCCTTTTTGAACTTTCAGACTGATTGGAAACAATGTCTTATAACTCAGACACAGCAAAAGATAAAAAAAAAATGAAAAAGTACTGGTAAAATATTAGATCCTACAGTGTCTCACTTCAGCCTATTCCTTGTTCCCCAATCAAAATTCATTGACATATGCTGAATCGCTTTAGCCCCACCAATGTATCATATAAACCCCATCAGGGGGGGTTAATTTGATACAGAGTTTTGAATTTTTTTAAAGTTGCGGTTAGCCTTATGTGTTTTTTCACTTCATACATGTCTCTAGCAACAAAATCTACATATTCAGCACTTTTAACATGTGGTTTCTATACACGGTATAGAAGATAAGGTGAAAAGTTTACATTTCTGTATTGTAATAGCCACAATTGACCCTACATACTCCAAAGAATCATGTTGCACTTTGTTTGTGGATGTTATCCTGATCTCAATATTGTGGGGGTAATTTCATAAACATCCGAATTAAACTGTATGAGTGTGATGGAAGCATTTGAATCACGTCCTCAATGACCTGTCCCGCACTTTCATTTATTATTGTGTAGATGAGCTCTTGTATTTTTATAAACAACAAAATGTAAAAAATAATTGAGTTTTCATTGGATAATTTTCCTGATCTTTTTACGAACAAGATGATGATTACACATTCAAATGAATCTACAACATCAATGTTGCAGAAGTAAAAACATAACAGTACTTGAAAAGGCTGAAGATAAATACCTTCTACTGGCATAGTCTACGTAACTATTTTGGAAACAAATTGCCTAATACTGAACAGAGTAATGCTGAGAAAAAAACATGGTCCTTTCAATTAATAACTCAACCTCAAACTCACCACACGATTATTGCACAACAATATTGTAAATTATTTTAAAAAATTGTTTCTCGTTGATTCAATCTTTAACCTCTCATCAAGATCCAGAAGTTTACCAGCAATGTTTTGGTCCTAATATAAATTCAAATTGGCATAGGAATATATTCAGGTCGTTTGAAAACACCTGTCCAATAAAAATTGTTAAAGAACTAAGGTTTCAAAATTAACATTATTAAGTATTCAGACTTTTGTTGATTAGGCTCAAATGCATTAGTTCCTTAAAAACATTGCATACTTCCATACCATACACTAACTTATGTCACAGAGTTTTTACTGTTCTTTGACAAAAATAAATCAAATAAAAAGAAAATTAAGGTACCAATAATATTATCTGTTTATCAAATATTTCCGATCATCATTATTTACATACAAAACGTGCATTTTCAAGCTCTTTAAAAGTTCCTTTGTTGTACAAAACAAGAAATTATTCCAACTACTAAAACTGAATTGCATTAACATTTATCCTTTTTTTATTGTTGTTATTTTTAAAAATTTTGAAAGTATTTATAATTCAACACTAAAAGTAATCTTTGTTTAAGTATAGTGTCATTATTTGTCATGTCAAATTATTTGAAATGAAATAATAGCTATCTCACTATTTCACAGATGACTGCAAAATAATTTTAAATTAAGAAATATCAAGAAATAATTGCTGAAAACAGGTAGAGAAGTATATAAAACATTGACATTCAATGCAGGATGTAGAAAGGAATTTTAGAAAACGCCATTTTAAAATACTTATTAATAATGTTAAGTTCAACATTTTTTATGTTTTTCAATACCTGAAGATGATGGTGTGATTCTGAAATATAGCTTCAATTAATTTTGAATGTTTGAATGAATGAATTTCCATCCAGTATCAAAGATTTTAATATCCATTATTTCATAGAAATTATGCTTCAACTTTCAGAGTTGAAACGTTGGTACATCATAAAAACAATTTTAAAAAAATAATAATAATAAAAAAAAAAAAAAAAAAAAAAAAATCACTGCATATTTTTAACACTTTTGCGATTACAGCTTCCTTCTTGCAATAATTCTTCACAAAACATAATACCAGTGGTAGTGTGAAACTTACCTTCCTGTTCACACCGAATAGTTTCTTAATATTTGGCTAATTTAATATTTTGATAGTCTAATATTTATTTTGTTATCTTCTTTTTTGTTTTAATTACTTATAACTATTTTTGTTTTATTAATAGGACATATAATTAATTTCAAAATTCATAATTACTAATGTATGCTACAATGCAATAATTTATAATATCAAAATATTTTTTTGTATAATCATATACAAAGTGCAGAACAACAAATATGTTTACAATATGTTTCAGATTTTATTTCTCATATTCCCTCTTCCATAAAAAAAAAAAAAGATGACAAAATTTCCCAACATGCATTGTTGTACTGAAGACACCTTGAAAATAAAATAAAATGCCTTATCAGTAATGTTTATTGTGATGAAAAATCATTTATTTGTCAATTTCTTTACATATAATTAACTATTGTACCTGTCTGTATTTCTGTAACAAATGTTAGAATTTACAGTGGTGTCTCTTTTCCCAGAAACTAATGTCCAGAAAGATGAAGAAACAATTTTTCATTGCTGAGGAATATATCAAATACGTCATGCATTAACTCATGTACATATGCAGTCAGAGAAAATAATGATTATTACAGGAAGAAAACATTTTCTCATTAATTCTCTGAAAGCAATATGCTCTACAGATATATCAAAAGATATACCCTATTATTCTTTCAGATATCATGAAACTTTTTTGAACATACATCAAATAAATGAACAAATTAATATTTTAAACAGCTTGCACAGTGGTGCTCTGTGTTAGTCGCTATGTTATTGAATATCTTCCTCCTGCATTACCTTCACACCTTAATATTCAGAATTCAGTTTTTAATGCATTCATATTAATCAAATAGTACTTATTTCTTCATTAACTTACAAAATGTTACAGTTCCATTTGTTATTCTACACTATATGTTATCGTTATATATTCTTTAAAAAATGTCATGTTAGAGTAGAGTTAGATGAATATTTTATTTATGTTATGCAAATTATTTATTTTTCTCCCAGCTAGTCAGAAGGACAACATAGGAACAATAAAGAGCACCATTACACAAGATATTTAAAAGGGAAAGGACTACTTACTGGATATAGGTAGGAAAGTAGAAAGATTAAACAAGAAGAAGGAATATGTGGCAGTCATTCATCTGCATATTTTGAAATACATGTTACATTGGTCGCTACAACCTGTGTATTTCAGTGGAAATAATGCTCGGTAAAGAGGAATAGAATAACTATTTTAGTCATTTCTTCAATAGCAACAGTACATAGACACTACAAATAGTTATATCTCGTAATCTATGTATAGAAGAAAAGCTTGAGAATTATGATATAGAGAGGCCAAAATATGGTTTTGTTTACCGTACATTGTTCCACAAATTTCTTGCTTTCATTAAGACTACAGTTCGTGTAATGAAGTGTAAAAATGGATTTGAGCTAAGGAAAGAGTAGAGAACACCAGAACTAAATGAAGTAGTTTGCGAACCAAATAGGTCACCAGCTGCTGTACACAGTCTGGCCCAAGACCCATGCATGTCAACAGAATATTTTCAATGTAGTATTGTCTGCAGAATTGTAACAAACAATGACAACACGGCCTCCTATGATAACAACCTACAGAAAATATTATTCATGTTTTTGTATTTTGTTTTTGTCAAGTATCAGGATAACAAACAAACTCCTGATGCTCTTTCTAAAAAAGTGTAACAATTTTCTTGATGATTATTCACCAACTGATATTGATGTTGTTTCTACGGACCTTGCCCTTGACAATTCTGCACGTAAAGTGCTCTAAACAATGATGGTCACAGAATGCAATAACACATTTACTTCTTAAACATAACAAAACATAAAGTGCAGGTTTGCAAGAGTTTGCTTCATGCTTGATATTCGACAAGAACAACATCCCATTCTATAAATCGCGATAGTTTAAATCTAGGCGATAACTTACTTTGAGTTATCGCAGTACATCCACCAGAAAATTAATTTCAAGTGCAGTCAGAAGCCCGAGCAAACAGGTTACAATATGTGTCTACCTTCTAGTTCAATGTTAAACAGTAGTTTTAAGAACAAGTACCGTATACTGTACTCCCAGGCAGGCCTAGTTGACATGCTATGTCTCCCATATCTGGAGAAGTACAGGTTACGTTTATATTGATAATGTGTCTGTTTATGAAGTGTTAGTGTTACATGTTATTGTTATCATGTGTTAATGTTTATGTAGTCATTAATGTATGTCAAAGAGTAAGTGTAAATGTATACACATGTGTTTTAGTCTGTTCAGGAATAATGAGCACATGTTTGTGCATATTTACTTCCCACTGCAAAATAAACAAATCATAGATACCTAGTCTTGTCTAACTTCACGTTCACTTGACACACATTCCAATTATCAGTTTGATGAAATGCAAGCATGTTGCTGGTCACTCCAAAGCCCACTCCTCACTGTCTATTGGAGGTGACAACCTCTCACAACACCAGAAAGTAACGGATCAAAACAAACAATGAGATATATGTAATTCTAGGCACTTAGAGAACAATCAAGCCATTATGGCAATGTATGGACAACTAGTATATTCTTTATACAAGGTTTGAAAAATTCTATATTACAATTCTGCTTAGCAGAGCTCATACAACTAACAACACGGGAGGTGAGGATGCTGCTAGGTCTCTGTTTAAAGCTCCCACCTTCAGCATCTGCCCGGCACATTTTGCAAATGTATGTGACACAAAAAACTCAAATTTTCTCACAGCTAGGGATGAAACTGACTCTGACTAAACATTATTGTAAGGCATTATATTTGGTAACCAATGTGCCGTCTTATATGAATCCATTCTAAGCTTTTAACATAGAGATTTGTTCACAGCACCACAATAAGAATAATTTCTGAACATTTATTGATTCCTTCATGTTCCTTGAACCAAGAGGATCTCATTGTGATTGTGCTGTAAATACAATATTTTAAATTTATGTTGAGAGTGAGATATTTAGTAGAAAACGAGAAAAAAAGCTCTTCAAAAGAGATTTCCAGGAAATGGCAGATGCAGCACACACCTTTCTTTACACCAGGGATTTTGTTAGGAGTCTACCCGTCATTTGAACATGCACACACAAGAGCATACATTTGGAAGCCAATGGAAATCAAGACATGGCACTAAGCATATTGATAGCTGGCCATACGTAAGCAAACACACTTGAGCCTGCATGCAACTGACAGAGCAGGAACAATGTATATTCCTCTTGAAATCCTCACTAAAGATAAGTGAATTAAAAATGAAGCAAACACCCAATGAAAGTGCAGTGAACAAATCTATGCTGCCGAACAGCTGAAGACAAGTTGCTGTTACTTACAATTCCTCAAATACATGCACAAAACTTTGTATTTTCCAATCCAATATACGCCTTGAGCACACACGTTGGCCATAAGACTACAGCAGCCTGGCACAGGCCTGAAGACTTTGTCTGACTCTTGCTTCAGAGCACCAGCGCAGCCACCCACACCCGTGCGGCTGGACGTCATCTTTCATCCTTCTGCAGCCAGGGGAGATGAAGAGTCCCAACGTAATTAGACTAACGATGTACAGCAGCCTTCGAACACTGTTGCTTGCTTTTGCACATTGCACATTCCACATATGAGGCAATGCACTGGCTCCTGTGACATCAGTACTCTTCCTTCATTCAAGCTAAGCGTAGTTCCCAACGCTGCAGTCCACATTTGTACAAGCCAGCGCTCATGGGCTTACAAAGAAAGCCTACAAATAATCCTAGAAGCTTCACACCTACAGCTACACTGTACCAGGGTACAGAGGAGATCGTTGAATTTGGCAGTTTGTTTTTTCCTTCAAAAACTTGTCTGTGCTCACTGTAAGTTGTGCTCAAGACATGCAAATAACAAGTATATACAAATACAACAACAGTTAAGTACAGATGGCTACACGCAAACCTCACTTATTGCTTTTGCGGCTGGGCAAGGCAGCAATATCAGAACTGCAGTCCACTAGGTACACCATAATCTGATTAGAAAAGAGGACTTTACACACATGATATGGAAGTAAATGTCTTTTTGTTTGTTTTTTAAATTTTTGCTCTTGATGTTTTTAACACTCGAGAGCTTTCAAAGCGCACAACAGCAAAAAGCATTAAACATTTGGTTTTCCGTCCATGTATTTAGTGTCTGAGTACGCCATGCGGCTACTGGATTTAATGATATATAATCCATGCTACAGAATACGAATAGATGCTATCACACATTGTACAAAGTTAAGAATTATCTGCAGGCAAAAACACAATTGCTACGACACCTCACCTTGTATAACTGATTTCATGGTTAGGTGACAAAGCAGTTGCATTTGAAAGTTGCTTAGAGAGAACGTTAGATGTTATTGCTGATTAGAAAGGATGCAATTTTTATGTAAATATCCCTGCAAAGAAAGCCATATGCCTATTTTCCTTGTGTTTTTAAAGGGAAAAGGGCACAGGTCTACACATCTAGGCTGCAGAGCAAAGTTTTAAAAAATGCAGCCATCTATGTGTTATTTCACATATCAAAGTAGTATGTGTTAAGCAAGACCCATTTTATTAGTTATGCCTCTGGAAACTATAGCAATATCTGCTTTGACATGGGCATATTTTTATACTTAGCTCAGTGTTGGGTAAAACAAAACGGTCTGTTAATCTCAATCTATCACCATCACTGTCTCTTACAATTTGTGCTTCAGCCAGACCAAACCCTCAACGCAAAACTAGAGAGCACTCTCAGTTCAAATATTAAACACAAGTAATATTCCTACGTTTCTAAAAGGGGTCAATTTCTTTTACTTTGTGACATCAATCAGATTTTGTGCATTTAACAATTAACCACTGGCTAAATTTATCCAGGAAAGATTCCAGAAAAGAAAAATCATAATTTTTCCTCATTTTCCCCCAATATTACAATCATCAATAAAAATATTAATTCAGTTATTGAGTTTTTATGGAGATAACAATAGCAAATTTTATTGTGCGGATTGTGTTGATCAAGTCATCCTTTATCAGAAATTCTTCTTAAAACAACTGTGCTTAAGGTAAACTTTACTAAGTTTATAAATGTGCTCAATCTCAACCCCAAAATTTTCTTGTGCAACTACCCCATCCTGACAATCTGAGAGAAAGGAAACCAAATATGTTATAGTAATGTCGTGCTCACCATAATCGTCCCAAAACATTTGCATCTGTCAAGCCATTACTATGGGCTTGACTATGGAAGCCAAATTATCTTTGAGGCTTACTTCCCAATGCACTCTAATTCATAGAAATTTTACAAAAATAAAAAACAAACAACAATGCCAGCACCAACAATCCCCAAATATCACGTCAAATTCACAAATGACCAAGACTAGCAGTTACCCAACACTGTGCATCCATGGAGGTAATGCCACTCACAAACAGGTAGCTTCATGCTTTTAAAGCACATTATGTTCGGCAAACAATTAAGTAGTATATTTTTTGTATTTTTCTACAACAATAACCAACGTTCACAAAATATATGTATGTATTAAATATATTTGAGAGCATTATATGTTTAGTTTAAACGATGTCACCATGCATATAAAATGATGTATTTAATGCATAATTGCTAAAATATGCTAATATTTGTAAATGTTATTAATATGTACATGACTCTCAAATTTTACAGATAACTCTAGTATCCTTGTCGAAAGGAGAACAGGGAGAAACTTACAGCACCTAAGGCCATTGCTTCCAACGGATGCAACAGGGTGGTGGGACTGAGTGGAGCTGGGGGAGGGGAGGGGGAGGGAGGGAGCTCTGGCACTGTATGTGAGAAGGGGGAGCATAACCTGTAAACCTTTTCAATTACTTGACAATGTCATTTCTAAGTACACAAATGCACAACAACAGTTAGCACAAATCATAAAAGACTACTTACTTGGTATAAAGCCATTCTGCAACAGAACAGACAGTACAGATAAGTGTTTTCCAAACACCAGGCCTGCAGCCTTGGCAAGAGTGATACTGCCAACATTGCCCAGCTGGGTGGTTGTACTCTGGTAACCAACCCTAATACTAATGTTCCATCCTGCCATGTCACTTTCCCTCTCAGGTAGATCAGTTAGCAACCACCATGAGTTGAGTCCACAGCCCTATCCTCTTGTGCATGCCACGGTTCAACATATTTCACCCTTGTACAAAATAGAAGCTCTAGTATATATGTATATATAATCATTCTCATATAAAATTTGGATAAACAAAACAACTGTATAATTGTCAAGTAATTAATAGATTCATGAGCATTTTGTATTTTTTTCTAGTTGAAGATATACTTTTGTACTTTTATATAAAAATCATTTAAAACATCGATGTGTTAAGAGTGAATGCTTCAACAGTAACACATGCGCTAGTAAAATATCAACAACCTAGAGATCGAGCCGTGCTACGCAGCGCCCATCCCCGGCCTTACAGCCCTACTGTACGTGACGTCAGTGGTCTGGGGAGAGCCGAGCCGCCCCTGACACCTCGGCTGCGGCTGCGGCGGCGCTGTGCGAGCCGGGGGGCCATGGCTGTGGCGGGGGCGAGGGCGAGGGCGGGGCTGTTGCGTCGGTGCGCGGCGCTGCCCGCCGGGCGGCGTGGGACCCGCCCCGTCGCCCCGCGGGCGGGGATCGCCCGCGCCCTCGCCCGCGCCCTCGCCCGCGCCATCGCCCGCGTCTGTCGGTCTCGAGCGGGGGCCACTAGACGGGACACGAGATGACCTTGTACTCGAACATGAGCGAGACAGCCACGAAGACAAAATACAGCAGAAACATGGTGAAGCCCAGGCCTTTGTTCATCTTCCAGCGGAAGCAGGCGATAGACAAGATGACGAAGATCAGCATCATGAAGAGGATGGAGATGGAGCACACCATGCCCACGCTGTTCACCTCCACGGGCTTCCCGTTTATGATGCCGAACAGCAGCCAAGGCACAGGTAACCTGCCACAAACAGACAGAGCGAATCAACGAATGAGCTCGGAGAGAAGAAGTGCAGCAGGGCCATTCCCGAATCCTGCAAAAAACTTCTCAAACATACTACGTCAAAGATTGTGTATGGGAACAGAAACAGTAGTGAATGTGGCCATGATACTTTTCCTATCACAATATTTAACCATTGTTTTGTAACATCCTTTATTTCATACAATCTCGATTTCCGTTGTGTAGTGCCCCAAAGCAGTCCGGAGAGTAGTTTACTGTACGGATGTACCGTAATGAAATTTTCTGATTCGTTTCTTTCTGATTTGTTTTATAAACCAGGTGCGGATCAGCGATACCTAACTCCTAAACGGGACACAATATCGAAGTGCAAATTTCGCCCAACAATGCGGAATCGTGGGGAAAGTAATATGTTGTAGGGATAATGTTTGTAATATTTTTTTTGTTTTCGAGAAATTTAATCATTTTGGATTTTTTAAATGGAACTCTGAATTTTCGACTTCTTCTTACAACTACCAAATTGAATATATAGATTTTTCTTTCAAGTAAATTTTTTCTTCGTAATTAGTTTTTTCGATAAGGTCATGCACATGTTTTCAACATTTTTTTAGTTTTCGTGCACTATTGCGAGTAATATTAAAAACTAACAAAAATTAGATTTTCTCAAAAACGGCTTCAAATTTTTTTTCCTCAAACTTAATTTTCTTGAAATGTCTCTTACGCACTTGAAATGTACATTTCCAGAAATTCGTATATATTACAGCACTTCTTCAAATGACTTCCAATAAAGTTTTTTGAAAACTCAAAAGATTTATATGAAGATCTTCAAATTTCGCTTTTACACGAACATTTAAACGATACTTTCTTAAAAATGGCTCCATATTTTATTTCAACTTCATAGAAGTAATATCTCGAATATATTCGAACCATTAAGAAACAGAAAAATTGAGATTAAAAAAAATGTAATTTGCGCGGCGATAGATGACAGTTGCCAGAGGATGGGGCAAGATCGAAAAGTTAGCCCAGACCAAAGAAATTAGTAAAGTAACTAGTACGAGAAGATTTGTGCCATTCTGTAGCGCCACTAGTTTCTACTTCAGATGCCGCTGGCACGCACTGTTAAAAAATAACAGCCGGGCCAGTTGTGCCGGGGTGGGGTCGCTGCGGAAGATGTTCTCGCGTACCTCACAGCCGTTAGCTGATTTATTGACGATCGGTGCTTTATTTCGATGCTCTTCGAAACGCTCTCCGTGATGCAGCTGTTTTTGCGCGCAGAGCAGTGAAATACACAAGGGCGGCGCCGCATTCATAAATAAAGCCCAGGGCAGGTAAGACACGATATTTTCTTGAAATACGTAATGCTGGAAATCAGATTCTAACGCCGTTGTGTGCTGATAGTCTTCATTTTTGGACTATTTCAGAACTCTCTTGCAAGAACCAGGAGAATCAGATTTTACCTCTTCCACCCAACAAAACCTTACCAACATTATTGAAGATAGAGATTTTCCCTTCAAATGAAATTTGTTTGTCACAATTAGTTATTTAACTAACGTCGAAAACATTTTACTTCATCGCTTTTACATAGTAAAAAAGAAAAAGTATTGAAATTGTGCGCCGAAAAACTCTTATTGTCGAACCCTGATAGCGAAGAAGTGGATACATCTTGTTGTATGTGTGTGTGTGTGTGTGTGTGTGTGTGTGTGTGTGTGTGTTTACTTTAACATGTTGTGCAGTCAGAATCCATATTTTTGTGGGTTCTTGTTACCGAAAAATCGATTCACGGTAAGACATCTGTGGCCAACGGTAGCGCCTAAACCGTTCAGCTGATATTCTTCAAAATTGTTATTCACTTTATCACTTTACATGACATCACGGCCCTCTGGTTTTAAAATGCACATTTTAATTTTGGGCTACTTTATATGTAGTCTTAATAGTATTTTTTAAAATTCCCCAAAATATCTTCAAATTTCCTTATTAAACTTTGTCCTCGGTTAGCGAAAAGTTTTCTTAAGAGAATGTTGCAGTTCTGAATGTCATTAAAATCTCTGATTTTTTAAAAATTGCAGAAGTTGACTATTTTTCAGCGTCTTCCTAAAACTACAATATTGAATATTTCTTCTCAATGAAATCTGTTGTCCTAAACAGATTTTGAAAAAAAAGTCATGCATTTTTCGAAAATAGTTTTGTTTTCGCGTAATTTTGAATAAAATATAGGCAAATTTTAATTTTTTAAACAATTGTGTCTTAAAGTTTTCACATGTGTATGAAAGCTGTAATATTTCACCTCATGTAGGAATGCTGTTTTAACACCAGATCTCGTAAAAACATTTGGCACAAATCTTTAGTTTCACCGTGACGGTTAAAAGAGAGGGAATTGTTACCCAAGGGATGGTAGCAACGAAGGAATTAATCTGTAAATGGTAAAAGCATAGACTATCATTGCTCTATGGTGAACGTGCTCAACAATAGAGGAAGAGGGAAAATTCAGCCATCGGTGTTGTCAGACACATCAAACATCTTTAATAAGAACCATAAAATACTCCACCGATGTAACTTCAGTAGAATTTTTCGTTTTTGAATTTTTGCGACTTTCATATTCTTTTTATGCCTATCCTAATCAGTGCCTCGCGATATCTCTGTTCTCAAAGCTTAATAGTCACAACATCAACTATGTGTCTCCTTCAGGGAAGGATCCAGCCGATCATTTTAGAGGGGGCCACCACCGATTTTTGTTAAATAATGAGCATTTGTCTTTACATTGTATACTATTTTGCAGGGCATATATGATAAAACTTAATGTTATTTTTTAAATAATTACTTAATTGCAACATAAATATTTTAATCAATTTTGCCAATTAAAAGAAGGTAACAAATGAAAATTATTGGCGATGGGGGGGGGGGCATGCCCCCCTGAATCCATCACTGGTTTCGTTAGTGAAAGATCCACGACTTTAAAAATATATATGTTTGCACAGAGTGTGGATGTAATAATTTGGAAATTATATATCCGAGAATCCAATGAAATAAATTGCCGAGTTGACGGTAACTCGGAAAACATTCGTTAAGATCCGGCCTAGAACAAAGGCGTATAAACATCATTAAAGTTAAACCAGGCTCTTTGCCAAATCACCATAAAAGCACCCACGATCGTAATAATAAGCCTGAAAAGCCGCAGTGCTTTGGCGGGCATTGCTGTAAATCATGATAATTCATGTGCGTGTCCGAGAAGCGTGTTTCTGAACGAGAACGATAGAGAAAAAACAATAAAACGCTACGGCCTGTTCACGGGATTTGATTATTGCCTTTAACACGATCAAAAACAACCCCCCCCCCGTCATTTTGTCGTCACTGTTATTCAAATGTGCAAGATTTGACATACTTAGAGGGCTGAGAGGTACACAAAAGTCTTAATTTGTCTGAAATTCTCTCTAGTAAAGGTTCTAATCCAACAATCTTCCCAAAAATGCACTTAAACTATAGGATACTGATACCCCAAATAACATACTAATAGATAAAATGAATAATGTTACAAAGTATAGTATCCATAGTGATTCCATAGTGAATATGCCAAAGCGAAATAGTTGGGAGCCCCTCCGTCGTGGATCAAATCAATGAAAATGCCCTCTGCACTGGAGATATTCTGAGTTGTGACGCCAGAATAACAGAACGAATGCACATTGCATTCTCTCAGATGACGCCCTTGCATCAGCGAGTTCACCCGTTCTTAGAGTCATGCTGAGGTGATGTTATTTACAAGGGCAAGGCAAAACGCTTCAAAACTTGTGTATGGCGGGTTGTATAATCTCCATCAGGCTACTTCGGCGGAGAGACGTCGCAAATCACAAATTTTAATTTCTCGCCTTATTTCGTAAGAAGATAAAGTATTGTAATCTTACACAGGAAAGGGGCGAATTTTCCATGCAAAACTCTTTGCCGAGCTCTGGTAACAAAAGTGGATAAATCTTCCTATATAATATAGTAAATTATTTTCTCTAACATGTGAAGAAAGAGTCCATGTTTTGGGAGTCCTAGTTACCGAACAATAAATTGACGGCACATGTCGGCTCACTGTTATCAACACCGGTGGCTAAACCGATCAGATTTTCTCCAATATTGATATTCCTGGATAGATTTAAAGGAACTCGGGACTCTCAGTTTGAAACGGATATTTTGATTTTTTGGGGAGTCCTTTACATTAAGCCTTAACAAGATTTTCGATTTTTTTGCAAAAATGGCTTATGATTTTTCGTTTAAACTTTGTCCCCGAAGAGTGTCGAAGATGCTTAAAAGACTGGCACAAGTCTCATTTTCATTAAAATCTTTAATTCTTCGAAAATTGCAAAAGTGTAAATAGCTTTAGGCGTCTTCCAACAATTACAATATTGAATACATTTTTTTCTGAATGTCGTGTGTTCTTCAAAGACATGTCTTGAAATAAGGTCACCTGCAATTTTTCGAAAATTTGTGTAGTTTTCGCGTAATTTTGCGTGAAATTATCTCGAAGACGGCTCCAATTTTGATTTTACTTTCCCCTCCTTACGAATGTAAGAAGAGAAAGTATTGTATAGTGCGCCAGAAAATGGTAAATTTTCGACACAAAAAATCTTATTGTCGGGTCCTGGTAACAAAAAATTGGATAAATTCTGTTCCTTGTACAGTAAATTGCTATACAATTTTTATAAAAGTACAATTTACAAGAGTATATTTTTTCAAAAATACGAGTAGTTTTATGATAATTTTGCGCGAAATATAGACAATTTTAATATTTATACATTTTTCTCTAAAAAAGCACCAAACTTTTCCTTTAAATTTTCTTGTCTGGTACATCGATGAACAGTAAACAATATGGCGCCAGTGCTAATTCCGGCGCATGCTCTGTATTTTCGAAAATTGCAAAAGTTTCAACATTTCAAAACTACAAAATTGATGTTAGAGACGTTTGCCTTAGACAAAGTGTGTTATAAAATAATCAGATCTTTAAAAAAGGTCGGGTACAAATTTAT